ATATATATATNTATATATAGTTATAGGGGGTTTTTTTTTGATGAAAGTATTCATCATAGAAAAATGAAAGGTACTGATTGTCATTGCGACATTTTAGCTGAAGCAGGATGGGAAGGTGGTCGTTTTCGAGTAATGATTGTGGGCGAGGAAAGGCGAGGTACCGATGGAGCAGATCATGGATTTCAGACAGCTTCTCTAGATCTGGCACCTTATCTAGAGATCCTTGCAACCCCATCAACTTTTGGACTGGTTGCTATTGCCAGAGCTATTATTTTGAGGTAAATTTTTGATAGAAAATTTCTATTTTCATTCAGCAACCTAATGTGCAATGATTTTTTGTCGATATATTAAAAATTTTGATTTCTTTGTTTAAAATGAAGAAACTCTTAAAATATTTACAGTCTGGCTGTCAAGCTTTCATTAGGAAAATTTCTAATCTTCTTAACAAAAACTGGTTAAAAGATTTCGATTGTCCTGTTAAATTACATTTTTGGTCTTCATTTTTAGATACGCTCCATTTTTGAAAGTAACTCTTTCGTCATTTGACAACAACAAAATCGATTCTCAACCTGTTGTAGAGGTCGAATACAACTATGAAACGTCCGAAAAAGTAAGCATGCATTTTTTAAAAAAGTAATTGGTTCAAATTAAATATCGATATAATTATGAAATGCGTACGTGTTTTATCGAAATTAATTACTTATTCAATTCAACCTACATGTCGAAGTCGTGCAAAGTTAGTTCCTTGCATGATATACAGTTTTTAACTAATATTAGTCTCACTTTTTATTACTTCAGCAGACTTTGACTGATCGTTTCTGGTTATATAATTTCAAAAATGGCAGAAATCTGTCCAGAGAGTGACCTGACTCGATCTTGACTTATCTCCCGAATTCTTTTCTCTGAAATAGGTGTTATCGGGTGATTAGCCTATAAGTGATGGATTTTGTATCAATACTACTAATACATTTCTTGTAAGAATAGGTTGGCAGATTATTGGAGTGTACGGAATTTCGTGGGATTGCCGAAAATGCAGTCATTTATGTTTTTTGACTGTTAGTCTTTATTTGAGATTTTTCAACATAAATAAATAATTTCTGAATTGATCCGATTAGTTCCTCATAACTTATTTTCAAATTTTTATACTTTCGAATTTTTTGTTTATAATGTAATAGTGACAATAAGCGTTAGCAATTATTGAGTCACAATATTTTGCGCTTCATTAACCAAGTGCATCAAATACAATTCTCATTTCTTTCAATTCCCATTTAACTTAACGAGAAGTTCAGAAGTATTGTATTCAATTGGTGATTTGCTGATTTTTTTAAATATCTTTATGCTATTTTTCCGTTAGTATAAAGAGAAAACGAAATTATAAGGACGTCTTTGATTTCTAAAGACAAAAATGATAATAAAACCAAGTAGGGCCGGAATGATATCTTTCACTTTTCATTTCTGGTTAGAATAGGGTTAATGTTTTGTATGTTAAAATCATAAATGAGTATGCAATAGTGGTAGACTGTTTGAGAAAAAAAAGATTATCAATTATTTGTAAAATTTTTCTTTAATATTTCAGGTTCTAGGTAGCGGAAATGAAATAGTACTAATGGGATTGAAATGCATGTTTTCGGTGTTGTATGAATTGAACAGGCGTGAATCAGAGCTCTGCACCGAAGCCCTTACCTCTTTACTTCATTTACTAGAAAATGTACCAACCGAAGCTTTAGCCAATGAAACTTATGCTTCAGTACAAAGCATGTTTAATATGCTCTATCAATTGAGAATGGAAGGTTTGTTAAAAGTTGAAAATCTTGGTAATTTTGATTGGATTTGAATTAAAAGAAACTTTATGTAAAAGGTTTTACTGTTCATTCACCTATCTGTGTCCCAGCGCAGATATATTTAAGCGACTATCCTCCTTTTTATTCGTTGATTTCTTTTTAAATCGTTTTAGAGGTACATTCCTCGAAATATTCTATTTTTATCGTCAAATTAGTTTATTTCGTCACAGTAGTACAGAACAATTCTAACTGCATTATTCCAAATATATTTCTTGGCTTTCAGTCATCTTTGTAACTCGTAGCAGATTGCTGAAAAGTATCTTGGAAGACTCGAGTGAAATTTAAGTCAGGTTTCAGGCGGTGCCGAAGTATCAGCGAAAGCAGTATCGTGTATGATAGCTTTAGCAATTGCTTATGGTGCTCCAGAATTCCTTCTTTCATTGATCGCCACTCTATTCTGTGATAAGCTCAATAAATTATCAGTTGATGATAGTATATCAATTGAGGTACCCGAAAATTATCAAAAATTAGCAAACTTGGTACGACGGATTCTACTTCGGAACAGTAATGAGCCAGGATGGTAAATATTGAAATTTCATTGAAAAGAATTGAATTTGTCATTCAGAATTTTTCCATTTTCACTTTTTAATTAATGCAAAGTGAAGACAGTAAATTGGGATCAGAAGGATACCAATCCATTATCATGGGATTAGGAAGGTCGTTTTTGCTATCAGTACCAAATTTCGCGGAATTTATTTTAGTACTGGTGATTGGTGGTCGCATTGTTTGACGGAATATGCTGTGCTATCATCCTTTGATGTTCGAATACCAGATAATATCCTCCCAGATACTCCAGATGATCGTAGACTTACTGGAGCGATTGCCTCTGATGGTATGGTTGATAACATGAGATTTGATCATAAAAGGAAATTTGATCATTTCTCTGAAGTCAATATTTCAAAAATTAAAAGACAAAACTTTTCCATGATATGTTTTTTCTAATAATTTACTTGATCAGAAGTGATGTATCTGTAGAGGAAGGAAAGAATTGAATAATGGAATCTTTTATTTTTCCGCTACGTAACTTTCACTTATTTAGTATTACAAATAAAGTAAACAAGTAAATCCATAGATCACATTACTTCTAATGCATAAATTGCAAATGATATATTAACAATATTGCAATTGGCATTTGTTTACTTATACTCAGGTAATACTTTCAAATGGCTTACAAATGATTCTCAGACCCAACAAATATTTTATGTTTCGGGTTTCTAACTCTGTAGACACAATGAATGTGTAATTTTCGAATTTTTCTCGAATTTTTAATGGGATAAATTTGGTTTGTTTTTTGAAGGAGAATATGTATATGTTCTTGCATGTTACGGTTTATTCAAATATGGCACAGGTCTCGGGGAGACTATCGAAGGCAAATTGTATGCTTCCAATTATAATTTGAAAGCAAAGTAAGTTTTTCCTGCTTTCGTAGAAAAAAGAAAGAAAAAATTTTTCTAATTTAACAGTACTGCAAAATTTTTCGCTGGTAAAAAATATCTGAACAATAAAGTTTGGATCAATTTTCTGAAGATCGTTTTTTATGAACTAAAATGGATAAATCAGTTTTGATGTAGCTTTCAAGGTTAGAATGAAGGTAGAATCAAGCAGGATCATAGATAACATCATTTTCAATAAGTTGAAATCCCACGTGACATTTTTCATTTAATTAAACATTACAAATATAGCTTTGTGGTTATTCCATTCATATAAAATTTCTTCTGCAGTCAAGAAATATCAATGTTTCAGCAAAGGTTCTTGGTTAGCAATATGTAGTGGTACTTTATATCTCCGGAGGCGTCAATCATCCCGTATGGGGGTTATTGATATTGATACTCTTCGTGAGGTCGGCGAAATTATGCTGCATACAAGTATTAGTTCAGGTATCTATAACTAAAATCTTATTGTTGTTTTTTGTTTTCTAAAGAGAATCGGTCGACCAAAAGTTAGACGTATCTCGAACAGAACTGGTTAGTTTTTGATTTTCTTCATGATCTAGCCTAATTGTAAAGCATAGATCAACATCAGAGAGCTGTACATTCTGATTTACTGATATCACATAGACGACGAAAGCATATGTTCTGTCTTGCTATAATTTCACCAATTCAGGTACCATTTTCACCGATGGCGCAACTTTCTATCAAGCCACTGTGGACGAACAATGGACGTTAGCGGTAAATTTAATAGTTATTCTGATTTTCAATTCATTTAAGATTGCATTTTCCATTCATTCAAGCTGAAAACTTGACTCTATTTTTAGGTTACTCCGCTGGATGATTCATTCACTCCAGTTCAAGATCTTCGACAAAGTCAAAAATTCCGCCTTGCCGAATTAAATTATATCGCTGTTGGTGAAACATATCCGATACCACATGAATTACCTCTAGCTCTTCCCAAATCATTACAAGGTTCATTCATACATTCACACGTGTTATTCTTAAATCATGACGACACCCATTTTTTCAAAGTGCCCATGCAGTTATGTTGATGATGAAGCATAGGAAAAATGAAGTTGATATAGGGTAGTGAGCATTAGGAATTCTCGGAGAAACAATAAAAGTATGAAGGATCAGGTCAAGTGAAGTAAAGAAAATCTTTAATCTTTATTGATTCATAGTGTGAATAGTTCAGGTTTGAAATTTGAAATTGGATTGTTAGCTCTTTGATCTAGAAAATCTTTTTTAGCACAGGCATCTGATTTGCAAATGAATCGAGATATGGCGTTGCTATTAGCAAGGAACGGGAAAGTTTATTATGCTGGTGATGGTACCCTCTTGGGTTTGCAGGTAGACATGATGTGAATTTCATGAGTATTGTCTAATTATTCGGAAGCGCTTGAAATTTTGCTCGAAAATTCTAAAATTTTATGCTTTTTTCTTGCTTCCGATTGGATTTTTGAATCCTAGAATGTTGTCGAAAAAATCTTTGTTTTTACAATGCTTGCCATTTCAGAATGCTGGATGTAACTGGATGAAGCTAGTTTTACCAGAATCAATAGTTTCAATAGCGGTTGGTTTTGACACGGAAACAATTGTATTACGTTCCGGATCAGGGCACTTATGGATTGCTGGTGTGGGACCGGATACGGTACGCCAAGGTAGTCCAACTGCTGGTCGTTTTCAAAAATCGGAAGCTGGCTCAGCGGCTGTCAAGTTGAGAAATTTTCAAATTTTGAACAGGTAAAGAATATTTCCAAAAGTCTATCCATTTAGCTTTTTAGTAATTCCCTAATAATGAATTCGTTTGATTTATCTTTGAATGATAATATGATAAGATTCACTTTTTTCAAACATTTACTTTCACGAAAACTTCCATTTACATCAACATGATGTGAAGTTTCATTACACATTATGTAAAAAACTTGATTTCCCTTAACCATGCCGAAAAGCTCTGGATTCAGACGGCGTTGCTTATCAGTCGCAGTATCAGCCGGATGCATAGCATACGTACTGGATAATGGGAAAGCATACGTCTATGGCCGACATACAATGCAATGTCATCCGGAAACTGGCCATATTTATGGATTGGAAAATGTTCATTTGGCATCGATAGCTCTTGGCAAAACCCATGCTGTTGCAATTTCACGTCACGGCCATCTCTATACATGGGGCCTAAACAATCTTAATCAATGCGGGAGAACTGAGGTAAGATCTTAAAGTGGTAAATATTGGCGGGAGCAAAATACAGTGGTAACAAATACAGCAGAATGCTAGCATCAGAAAATTAAATATCACCAAGCCAGAAAGCAGATTAAAGTCAAAAAGTGCATTGGATCTGGAAAATATATACACGTATAGGCTTTCATCGTGATATGAAGCCTATGATGGTATGAGCGAGAAAAATGAAATTTCTGGTTTTGGATTAATTGATTAAATGATAGCTTAAGTAAAATAAAAATTTTAATAATTTTTCAGTCTTATATGCATTCGGAAGCTCCTAGTGGAATGGACGAAAGCGAACTGTCTAAAAAAACAAAGACGGACGAAATAGAACAGAATTCGTATTGTCTTCCAAATGAACATCTTTGGGTCAAAGATTTTGCCTCCATCTGTTTGAAATGTGGCAAGTGTTCGGCGCGTGGAAATCGGTAATTTAATAATTGAGCTGCAATTTTGACAACTTCAGAATGTTTTCCCGTTTTTGAATATTTTTTTGTGGAAGTTTCCGCGAAAGATTTTTCAGATGCGCACTGATAAGAACCAAACGTGATGCGAAAGGAACGCCATGCACATGCGGAGAAGGCGAAACGTGTTGCCTGAGGTTTACACTTTTTCTGTCTTGTATTTTTCTTGAGGACTTTCTTTGTCAAAACACTAAAGTACTTTAACTGCTCAAACATTGAGTCTGATATATTCCTGTTGTTGGCAACTGTGTTAATGGCCTTCCACACTCATCTAATCCAGGCGTTTAATTAGTGAGATGTTAATTACTTAAATTTCTATTGATAATTGATCAGCACCCCATAATTTATTCTCCTTTGATCATTTCCTCTTGATTTAATCTGCGGTTATTCTTTCTATCTTCATGAAGAAAAAGAAAAACAAATGTACATATTTGTGAATGAATCAGCTTGAAACAATAGGCAAAATCAATCCTGTTTAGATGCGGCTTATGTCGTGCATGCGGTGAATTTACGGTTGATGCTTTTGATCGAGATATGCGAGCAGCACCACCCAGAGCAGCACTTCCACCCTCTCGTCTAATTCTTCAGAGAGACAGTCCTGAAATCAAGGCAAGCTAATTAATTTGATCATATTATCTCGTCAGATAATAAATATAGATTCAGAAGTTAAAAGTAAACTTGCGAATTTTGGATTGAATTTAAACTCTGAACTTATTTAATGTATTTTAGATTTCATACTCAGAATCAATTACTTACATTTGTCTAGATTACAGTCGAAAAATTCGATTTAAATTTAAGTGCAGACTTGTAGAAATTCAGGTTTCATCGGTGTGTTGTGGCAATTATCACACTGTTGTATTAGCAGCTGATCGACAGGTCTTCACTTTTGGTTCAAATTGTCACGGACAACTGGGTGTTGGTCATGTAAGGAAATGTGTTGGTCCGCACAAGGTTGATTTTTTTCTTAGTATGAAGTGTGATGTCAATTGGTGAGAATAACTTTACAAACAGCTTGGATTTTTGATAATTTGAAAGTAATGGAATTGAATGATGGGAGTAAATAGATCTTCCCTCTTTTATATATTATTCATTCTAATGAGGGAAGTTTTTTATCTGATGGATTTATTCTGTTTTATTCATAACTAGCATTGGATGGGTGTCAAAAATTTGAGGTGTTTTAGGTGAATCTACCAGGTAAAGTACAAGTAGTTCAAATTGCTGCTGGCTCAAATCATACGGTGTTAAGGACAGCTGATGGATCTGTTATCACGTTTGGTGCCCATAGACAGGGTCAGCTTGCAAGGTAATTGAAATTTCAGTATTGACATTAAAAATTTTTTGATAACCTGAAAAAAAATGTCATGTTTAGAGAAGGAAACGAAAAAAACTGGTTTGCGATGCCATCATTTGTGGCAGGATATGGCCGTGGAAGTGGTACCGTTGCAATTTGGATTGGTGCATCCGGTGATACTACTCTAATTCATAGTCAAATTCGTATTTATAACAATGATATTATTTCAGATTGTCAGGCAAGTATTACACTTTTCATTCACTAAAATTTAAATGATATCTAATTATGCCAAAGATTTAACTGGGCGAAGATGGAAGTGCATGTTTTGATGTTTGGAATCGTTTATCTGATTTGCAAGTTGATGCTTGCTTAGCATATCAGGCGCATAATTTTAACATGAATAACATCATGCAGTTGTAGACATCATCAATTGGGAATCACTTTGCATTCACTAATCGGTTATTCCTGTTATTCTTAATATAACGTTATCAGTCATTCCTAGGGTTTTCTCTGTTATGCAGTAAAATAAGAATGCGTTTCTAGTGATAAGGATATTTGAAGAGGAATATAAAGGGTAGATACCGTTGATATAGAGTTATCATCGATATGCTTAAATGTTCTCAGTGGAAACAGCTAATCGAATGTCTATATTACGGAAATTTTTAAAATTGATCAATGTATTTACTAGATTTTAATTGTTAAAAATCAAATCTTACTTTCTCTGAATAGTCTCAATAATTTCATATGCTTACGTGCGAATTTCATATGTGAGAACAGAAGTAGAATACTTACACGCATGCAAACATTTACATATATGTTATGTGTAAATGTAAATTTAACGCACTTCAAGCAATTCAAGCAATGGTAAGTATCCCTTCATATTTTTGGACTTCATTGATTTTCGTCATTCGGTTTATATGATTCAATTTTTTCTTCCATTTGCAGATAGTCGCAGATAGTGAAACTATAGTGATATTTCCGAATCAGGTTGGCAAAAATTATATGGCAATACGACGCAAATCTAATACCTTTTACCAGTATTCACTGGATACTGAAGGTCTCTATACTAAGTATGTAATTTTTTTTTCCAAGATTTTTCCATTCTACTACTTTTTTTTCACCGTAGAATTTTGGTCTCAATTACCTCCACATCTGTTATAAACTATTGACATATATCTCTTATTTAACACATATGTTATGAACTGCTTGGCAAATTCTGATGAGTAACTTACTAATTATTTCATGATGCATTATATGCGTTTCCTGAATTATTTAGCTTATCTTTAGCTAGTTATTATTAGTTTCAGTTTAGATTTATCATCCTTAAATAACGCAAATATAAGGAAATTTGTAGCTGGTGCTTGGAATCGAAGTATAATTTATTGTGGGGATTTAATACGGCTGAAATGCGTATCAGATCAATCACCGATTGTATTCCAATTTCTGGTAAAAAATTCGAAGCAGATACCATCTTTGACGAAATCTTAGAAGAGATCGTTAAAGAAATTAGATTTCTTCGTACACCTGAATTTATAATTCCAATATCGAACGAAACAAGTTTACCTGTCAAACAAGTTGCTTTGAATCTTTTTGGCATCACTTACGCTGCAACTGTACTGGAAAGCAAGCGATCATCTGGACAAAAGGTTTTGTTTTTTTTCGGAATTGCAATTTCATTCAGTCTAATTTCAAGAGAATACAATTGTATGTGCAGCTTGAACTCATTGTTTTGTAAAACATTACAACAAAAACATGAAATTTGATTCTTAGGATTCCGAAGAATTTATACTGATTTAATACAACAAACATAGCTCGTAATATAGTTGCTGTATATGACCGGTTTTAAAATTTCAGGGTAATCAACTTATTACGGATCCGAAAGCATCTCTTATAGTTGGTGCCGTAAATGGACGAAACTTATGGGGTTATCAACGTATTAATCGTTTTGATGGTTATGGTGGTGGGTGGGGATATTCAGCTCACTCCGTGGAAGCAATCCAATTTCGTACTTCACGTGATATTCGATTTTTCGGTGTTGGGTTGTACGGTGGACGTGGCGAGTACATTGCGAAGTATAGTTTTGAAATGACGATTATTAATAAAGGACTCGAAAAAGTTTTTGCTCTCGAAAGAGAGATATTGAGTTGTTTAATAGCTCGTTAGTAACTTATTCGAAAAAAATTTTGTTGCATCATTTCCGTAACTGCTGTGAAATTAATATTCTTTGTCTCTCGAGTTCTACCACAGTTACCGTCGTAATACGACCTGTTATTAATTATAGAGGGATTTAACAGTCAAACAGATTAAAATGGCCATAAAGCATATTTTTCAGGTTAAAACTTTATCGCCTTTGTCCACCGGACTATGACGAACAGAACGTTGAATTACTCAGTGAGTCTGACGAAATGCTTTACGAATGTGCCGCACACGAGAAAGCGCAGTTATTATTTCCGCGATGCGTATTAATTAAATCCAACTTGTGGCACGTTATTTGTGCGCAAATTAAGTAAGACGATTTTAAAGAAATAGTGTTTTTGAAATGAAAAGAAACGAAACAAACTTATGGTCTCTTCTGAGGATAGATATCTGGATTGAAGCAACTGTTAAGAGCATACCACTTACCATCAGACAAGGACCTTAATATCAGCTGTCATGCGAAAGCCATTTGACAGATTCTTGTTTCAAACATTATTACACAGTTCCATCAATTAACTTATGTTTTTGAACAGTCCTTATGTTGCTGTTGTTACCGTTAATGTTTTCTTGTTCGTCACATGACACTAACCATTCACTTTTTTATTTTTAAAAAGCTGACACACCGGATATCCTTATATCCATGTCACACTTATGAAATTTTCTGCCGTAGTTCAGGTCATATGAAAATAGCTTTATTCGTATATAAATCCAAATTTTTTAAGTGGTCCAAGTTCTGACTGCGGCTCCAATGGGCAGTCTAATATTACTGGTGATGGTGGGGTGCAGTTTTTTTTCCGCAATTCACGTTTTTCCAACAACGGAACCGATGTCAATGTCGGTCAAATTCCGGAATTTTTGTACATTTCGGAAACATCCGATGAACAACCACCTAATTTTAATGCAAAGGATAAAACGATGGATACGTATGTCTTTTATATCAGTGCTCAAAAGGAATGATAAATGATTTTTTGAAGTTTGAAGAATTTTAAAGATTTTAATTGATGGGATAATATCACTACATTCACCGGAACAATCTGACCATTTAATGAAGAGTTTTTCCCACTGATGGATGAACTAGATGTCTGACTCTACTGTCCTCGAAAGGCTTATAATTTCCTCTTTTGAATATAGCAGTACAAATTGCTTTACATTATCAAATATTGATTAGTAGAAAAGGGATTATTACGGAGAAGTGCTTTCCGCCAAAAACATACTTAATGATACTTATCACTACTTAGTTGCTGCTGTTATCAAACTACAATTATGATTGTTTCTGAGTACGAGCGAAATATTTAAATGCATATACCTTTCAGCTCCTGCGATTCTATTTCGTGTGCTATAAGTTCACATCATCTATTAGAGGTTTCTGCAGTTACAATTGAATCATTGTTTCGTCTGCTAGATTGGTCCATTCAGAAGGCTTTAGTGGAAACGTTTAATGAAGATAGAACATGGTTTCAAGAATGCAATATGGTTATTGTCATCTTGTCATTAAGATTTTTACGGTTTGTTTGTTCTTAAAATCTATTTTAATAAACTCATTATCAAGCGGAATATATTTCTGTGCTTGAATTCTCAGAAGTAAAATTTTAGCAAATTGATTTGAAGTTTTATGAATGGTTTTAAGTTTTTCATGCACTATAAATTTGTGCAAATTAATGAGAAAATTTTATGATCCTGAATGTTTCACCCAGGAGTAATATTGATTTTAGATTTTATATTTGCTCACTTTACTTTCCATCCAAGGGTGGAAAACAAATGAATAAAAAAGAGCCCTCGAGTAATATTGCTGAACAGATGGTACGATTCGCATCTATAATTGGTTCAATTTTTGAAATAGCAAACGATCAGCATAGTGATGTAAGTGTATTTTTAACTGATTTTTTCACCACTTATTTTTAAATTTATTTGTTTTCTGGAATACCAGTCATTTCACTTTACTCAACTATTTCGAATAATTAAATTATGACTAAATATACCTCAATCGTCATATTTTACTCGTGGTAACCTTTTTTATAAATGCTATATCCCGATGTAGGCTGTTACTATTGGATTTGAAACAAAGCCACAGGATCAGATATTACAGTATTTATATTTTAGTGCATTGGTGATTTCATTTTAAATCCTTTTAAAACCAGAATTTTCGAAAATGTTTTATCGTAATTTTAGAAAAAATAAGCACTGACTCAGATTTTGATTGATATTTGTACGTCACCTGTAATCTTTTTCGATCGTGAAATCTTGACATTTGATTTAAATTATTCATACAAATAGACGAGTCATTTAAATTTTTTATTATTGAATACCACGGTATTCTTCAGAGTACAGCTTGTTCAATATTACTGGGCGAAGCAGTCAATTGTGCGGTGCAATGTTCGCATGTTCTATATCCCAGTTCAGCAATTTTTCTGGATCGACTTTCCTTTTTGATATCAACACCAAACCGTGAATGGTCATTAGTTGCATTATTGAGTACGCTTTGGAATCAAGAATATGTGAGGAACATCTTGTTGCTCTTTTTTTATATATTCAAAAAATTCATTAAAATCTCCAAAGGCTTGCAAATTTGTTTTATTGGAATCTTTGGAAGGTTTGGATGATAAGGAAAAATGGAAATAAAGTATGGTGCATAAAAAAGTAGTGAAAGGATTGTCATCGTTTATGATCACGGGCATACTGTTATTGTTAACACTTTTTTCATGTGTTAGCCGATGGATTGGGCGAGCATTTTAGTAGAGAGATATTACCATTCGGAAAAGTGAATCTATGATAATGAAGGATCCATCGCAAAATGGTTTCATTTCAGGTCTTACCAACTTTGCTTGGTTCCGAACGTAACTTCACCCAGTTTCCAATTTTGCTTACCAAAATGAACGAACAGATGGGTAAAAAACGGATATCTGCAAACCAACATCATCTTGTTTCTTTGCGAAATGTATTTCGATTTCTCTTTGAAATGGCTTTTACATCGACAAGGTTGGCTCAGGTAAATCATTACTGATTTTAAGCTAAAATTCAATGATACAGTTTTGGAAATTTAAATTATCAGCGAACTTTAGCTATCAGGCAATCATCCCAAAACAGTTATGCTTGCTTTATTTTTAATTATTTGTTTTTAGAACGAGAGCCGAGTACGTCTCAAAACTGTTGCATATTCACTAATTACTGCAATTGCACGAGAATTAGTAACATCTAAGGATGCTGTTGGTGATGGTCCACCTATTCTGCAAACGCCAAACAGGTCTTTTTTTTACACTTCACAAGTCTCTATGTTAACATCCAAATATCTTTGGCGATACAAAATTTTAATGTACCTTTGTTCTTTTTACATTAATGGTTCCCAACTGGTGATCCACAAGGGCTGAGGAGCGATGAGTAGAAAATACGAGGAGGTTGTTCTTATCAGTGTTTGGTGAACTGATTCGTTAAAAGTTTCGACTGAATTTTGTTTTCAAATTAACAGAACTTTTTTCTTGAACCTTGGTCTTTCCTGCAAATAAAAAAGCCGAAGTGGTCCTTAATCAAGAAAAGTTTGAGAACCACTATTCTATATATATATATATACATACATATATATACGCCATGTACTTACCGTCATTATTAATTTAAAAAAATTTGACTTATGCAATGGTTTTTGATGTGTGTTTTGACTAATTTGCGATAATATGTATAAACTATAACAGATATAAACTATATATTTCGACTTTCTACGCCAAGGCATCAGACGATATGTGCATATTTTCGATAGTTCTCATGTTCCTTTATGGGCAACTAAATTGTTTGACAGCTACAGTATTTCAATACTATACGCTGATGGCATTTTTCAGTCAAATATTATTAAGATTTTAAAAATCTGCAACCTCTGTTTTAGGTTTCGACACACTGCGGCACACGCAAGTTGGGACGTAAGTAGCGGTGCATGCGATGCAATAGCACTAAGTGTTGATGTAACCGGCATTACTTTACACGGAGTTGGTGTATATTGTGCTCACCATGATCAGGAGCAAGGTTTTGTATGTGAGGTAAAACTGAGCCTTTTTATTTCAAAAATATTCATTTGTGGTTTTCGATAGTCTGAAGACCATCATATGCCATGGGTCAGATGTATTTTGGCATACGTTGCCCCACATCACATATGTCATAATTTCATAATTATGCTAGTTTTAGGTGTTGTTGAATGGTGGTGATGCAGCCCACGAACAATGGAATGTACTGGAAAAAGTTGTCGGTACTCTGGCAAATAAATTCGAACCTTGTCAGCGCGAAGTTGCTTTGTTACGGTTGACCAAAGCTATCAAACTCCAGCCTTGCTGTACCTATGCTATTAGATTACAAATTAATGGTGGCAAAACATTTTGTGGTGAAGGTTGGAACTTGAATTTTACGTGCATTTTTTAGCTTTTCAACATATTTTTCCATCTTATTCCAACTTCAGAAGGTTTCTTTTATCTTTTTTTAATTTTTGCCAAATTCGAAACAGGCAGTCAGTCCGTCTTATATTGGATTGGCACAGTGAAATTTATTTTCGATAAATTCAAAAATAGATACTGCTACTTATGTCCGCAGTAGGCAAAATAAAGAGTTTTAGTGATTGTTATCGTTTTGATAGCTGGCATATGAGTTCTTTCAAACTTTCAAAAACTCTTTGGCAACTAATAAATTTGCAATAATTAGTACCTGGGTATACTTCACCCAGAACTCGTAGTTTCTCGAAGGATAAATCTAGAAAATGAGCAGCAAGTTTGTTTTGATGGTAGAGATGTGGAAATTCGTGGATCGCTGAAGATCTCGAGTATAGATTTGATTATTTTTCTGATCACTCGGAATATGGCAGTTTTCTTAGAAATATACGTTTGTTCGCAAAATAGATTGCAAACTCCCTACTCACAAAATTCAACTTCAAACTATTGAGGTTTCTCTTTTAATTTTTTTAGGTGGCGTTGGAACCGTTCGATTATGTAACGGGAGTCGGATGCATTTTGAATCATGTAATTTAAGCCTAAATGGAACTTCCTTGTCTCGTGGCCAAATACCATTCGTTCTGTATTCCATACAGGATGATGAAAGCAGTGTGATTCAACAACTGGCTAATCCTGAACAGGTTTTTGTCATTTTTCATTTCTCCTCAAAATCTGTAGCAGTTTATGAATTCATTGTTGCTTGAAAAGGATTTGCTTAGTATTGCAGAAGAATCAAGAAAGTATATGGCGTAAGTAATTGGCAAAAGAAAAAGTTGAATAACATTTCTTGCTTGCAAAATTTCCATTAGAAATCGCCCCCAATAAAAGAATATATGTGATTTTCATCTGTTATTATTCACTCTTTAATAGTTGAGATGGATCTCTGTACAATTTTTTTTAAAACATTTTGTTTCATTCTCGGTAATATTTTTATACTTATCTGAATATATCTGGTTTCTGAGAAGGACAACAAAAAGTATCAAGATTTAGCTGAATGTAAATTGTATATTCGTTATTTTTTAGTTGGCTAATTGGTTCTTGTTGCTAATTCGAATGTTATCATCCAAAATGTCGGATCTAATTGCGACGGGGAATCTTTTATCTCAGGAACAGTCTTTTTGTTCAAGTATCGCAGGTAAATTTCGTCATCTCGTTTGTTAATTCTCACCATTATCTGTTGTCATTCATCTCACTGTCCACACCACCACATTATGGTAACAGATAGAGGAGGAAGAATAAGTTTTGAATATTTCCATCGTTGTAGAAATCATTAAAGTATAGACATTCTGCATAACTCAAAGAAGATAAGATACGAGCATACCTCTTAATTTACCCATACATCTGATGAATAATATGATGAATAATATGTGATAATGTTATAATAATGTCCGTGATAATATTAGTAGTGATCAGGATTTCCCTTAAGGTTATATAATGGTTTTTTTGGAAGCTAATCCACAACATGCGTTGGATGTAGTTGCAGTGTTGGATGATTTACTGCCGATGGTTTCATCAGCAAACGGTGAACGACTTGCTGAGGAACGAGGGCGTATATTTGCGAGGTATTAACTATTTCAGCAAGTGTTAAGTAATTAGAGCAAACTACATGGCGTTAATTAGAACGATTATATGATTAATTAAAATGTTTATAGGTCGACACAGCAGAACAGTGCTTATTCGCATAGTTTCCAAGTAGTTGTTGAATCAGCACATCCATATTCATCTTGTGGAATACAATCGCAGGTGTTTAATTTAATACATACAATTTGAATTCATCCGATTACACTTCAGCTTTGTTACCAGCAAGAAGATTAAACCGTCCGATGAGATGTGAGACGTGTAATTACGTTCCTACATGTAGTACTTGGGTAGTTCTTGAATAGTTTCTTGTGATTGACACTCAGAATTATGGTTGTTCCATTATGGTTATCAACGGAACACATTGACTTATATTTTCTCTTTAACCATTTGAGATATTTTCTGTCAAATTCTACAACATATTACAGATAAGATTGTATTAGGATAAATGGAACAAAAAATTTAAAATAAGGAGCCTCGATTAAATTAATGGCTCACTTTTGGTTTGTTCAGCACTTAGTAGATTTCATGAAAATCGGCGTAGAATTCTACCAGGAAACATGATTAATTCTATGTTTATGCTATACAGTTAGGATTTTCGACTTCAATTTTGAACTCATAATTCTTTCGTGATCAAATCATTAATTTTCCTAATAGGTTGTGGACTTCGGAAAAGAAGTCCAATTCATGACGGTACAGTTCAATGAAGAGTGTTGTACTGGTCAAGCAGATGATATTTTATGGATTTATGCGAAAGTTGACACCGAGTGCTATGTACCTATTGGAAGGTTAATTTTTATTATTTTAAACTCCAAAATAAAAATTTGTCAAATGAATAAATTAACTTTTTTAGGTATTGCGGTGATCGTAGTTGGCCTGATCGCATACTTTTGATTCCGGGGTGCAATTTATGGTTTATACTGGAATCGGCATCTTGTTCAACGGATAAGCCTCTTGACCAAGTTTGTTATCATACAATCCTTGAAATATGTCTGTTAACTTGTGTTTGAATGTCAAGATTTTCGGACATAAATACTGTGTGAAGTGGGTTGCAATAATGTACAGAATCGAGTTTTTCAGATCTACGGTTATCGATGTACAGTTACAGGATATCGATATTCGGAAAAAGATTCCGATATGATTCTGGAAGAAGAATTGACGTGGATTTGCGCAAGTGCCTGTAGATTACTTGTTCAGGTGCAATTGCTAAACTCATTTTTCTTTCAGTCATCCTAACTGAGCAGTTTTGTGAACTTTTATGTTTGTATTCAAGCACTTTCAGTATTTTTCAAAAATGTATCTTGAACAGTTTGGGATACTTATCTACAAGAAGTTTTCATGCGAAAGAAGAGATAAGGAAAATAAAGAAGAGAAAAGGAAAATATGCATTCCACTGTTCCTTATCGTTTCAAGATTCCATCAGTCAAAACAGTGGTAGCAGCAGTAACGATGATCGAGGATGAAATCGACGATATTGTCCGTAAACACGGTACGCTACTCCGGAAAGGATTAAATCTCTCTCATGTTCCAACGGTCAATGAAGTTCTGAAGCGTAACTTACCAACTCCTTTGCAAACTTCAGGTAATGCCAAGAATGAGATTTTTATTAGTTGGAAAGAAAGATGTTTTTTTCTCCCTAAATCAAAATTCAATTATAATGACAGAAAATTTTTATTTTAAAGTAATTTACCTATGTATATATAAAAAAAATATAAAAATATTTCTTCTTTCGTCAACTCCCTTCCCTAATTTAATTTTTTTTTTTTTGAATTGGACCAAATTTCTGGCTTTCAACTTCGTCCAAATAAGTTTGCTTAATTTAAACAAGTCTAAAAAACATTTTATTAAGATCTGAAATTCTTAAAAGAGTTCATTGCTGCTTCTACAAGTACTCTGGCTGGTTTCTTGGCACGATGGATGATGAATGAACCAGTTGTAGACCTTCATTCCAGCCAACTGCAAATGCCTGATGAAGAGACACGACTTAGAATTCCTACCCAGGTAACTGCAAAAGAAAAAGTTATATCTCCTGCAAGTGTAAATAGAGGTATTTCTGTTTTGATTTCACGGGGCAGTGCTTTCATCGTGATTTCTATGCGGATATGCGGTGTAACATCAGTTGAGATTAGTGGCGAAGACAGGATTGGAATACATTACTGATATTGTTTTTCTTTTAGGATTGGAATATTTTGAATTATCAACATGATACAAACCTGTCTTCCTTATACGAATCTATCTGTATTACGAGCCTCTCTCTTTTCAGATAAAACTCATCCCGCGAGACCAGTACGGTCATCTAGTAGTGTGTCCAAATATGAAGGTCGAAATCACGGTTCGTACTGGTGTGGCATCAGAGAATAGTAATTTGAACCTCTGTGCAGCTGTCACTTGTAATCCGCCAACTGCAAGTCTTCCTCCGCCACAATCCATCAAGGTTAATTTAATTTGCAGTTCGGAAGTTTTTTTGCTTTGATAATGTGAAAGTTTGATATAGGAGGTCAAGAGTAGGTGAACTGGCTAATTTATACTGATTTATTTTTTTTCAGTCTCTTTGATAGATTCTAGAAATTAAAGTAACGATTATTAAGTTGAACTTCTGTGATGATTAAGTTGAACTTTCAAGGAGCCATATCGTCCAGTTTACGTAAATAAAACACGATATGTTTCAATCACAACGATGACTGCTTATAAGGATTATTGCTTCGAAGAATTACGCCTTGGATGTTACAAAGATGCGATGATGAAAGAGCAGCTTATTGTAAACCAGCAGGCTGATGGCAGGTTTGGCCTTTGATTTTACTTATCAGTAATCTAAGCTGTTGATTGATTTTTAAGAATGAGGTAATATTTAACTGGGTTCGGCTAAAGTAGAACTTTGACTTACCTGAGAAAGCTATGTGTAGGAACGATATAGTTATTCAGTGGAGAGTTTTTTTTTTAATATATATTTTTGCCCTTACGATTAAGTCTGCGATAATTTAAAATAATTTTTTATTCAGTTTTTCGGCCAGCTGGACACCCAAACATGGCGGCACATATCGAGTCGAATGCCGTTTAGATGGATTTCAGTTAGCTCAGAGTTATTTGGTTGAGGTAATTTGCACGTTTTGAGATTTAATGGCACGTTTCATATTAGCTTGTAGTGCAGAATGTTGCTTGAAACGAGTATTCTATTTTCTCTTTTCCAAAAAAAACCTATGTTTTTTATTCTTTTTAAATGTTTTTTTATTTTTTTTTTAAAGAAACATGAAAAAAAAATTTTTTTCCGCTACTTCGGTAGTAATTTGCAAAATTTCCATACCACCTATTAAAGTAGATGATTTTCTTACAGGTTCGGGACAACAGTATGTTTGGTGGTTCAGTATCGCTAAAAGAAGGCAGTCAAAATCGTTTGGGTCGAAGGGTGGCCCATTTTAGCAGGTTTGATTTGAATTAATCCAACCGAAATAGAAATCATGAATTAGCTCCAAAAAAAGCTTTTAAAACTAGACATGCAGGTCGTTGAATTACTTATTTCAGGTGCAAGAAAGTAAGGAAAAGTGAGAGTAGAAGACTTATTGAAAGTATTTTCAAGTTAGGTACTTTTAGGATACGTTTTGCTTTTTGTGATCAAAAGCTAATGACGAAGGGTGTACGAATCCGTGCTTCGCCAGCCTTGAATTCATCACAAGTCGGTGTCATACCGCGTGGTACCACTGTTTCTTATACTGAAGAAGTTGAAAACGCTGATGGTGTTTGGTTGCGGCTTACCGATGAAGCGTGTGTGATGTACTGTGATGCACAATTACCTTCGCAAGTATGTATCCCTGAAGTAGATTTACCACCCTCAAAGTTGAAGACTGACAACATGGCTCTCTATCGGTGATGTCCCACTAAACCTTCAGAATCTACAGATTTCTGTTGATTAGTAACAGTTAAACCAACTTTAGTTCAAATTCATTCCTAATGAATGTACGCTTATTTACTTTGGATAGGCATTCGTTTCTGATTGGAATTTATAATTTTTTTCTCAAGATCTAAATGCGGAAGGTATTTATGGTTCAATTAGTTTCAAAAGAACGGCATAGGTAAGCATACGTCTGGCATTTGAAGGAAATAAAGAGTTTAATTTGGATTAATTGAAATGGACCAAAATTTATTTTCAGGGTTGGTGCTTACAATATAGCAATCATCTGGGATGCTCATTTTTATTGCTACAATCAGATTCTACGGAAGGCCTAATTCTTGGCTCCAACTTACTAAGTACCACACAATTACCGCAAAATGCAGGAGCAACAAGTGAGCGGTATCTTGAGCAGTCTTTACAACTGGATGTTGAGGAGGTAGGTCCATTTTCCTTATGTTGAGGCAATAAATGGATTTGTGTCATAATACTTTTTTAAAGATTAGAATTACCAGAAGTTGCCATGAGTTTTAGTTGTAGTAGAGAGTTAAGGCATCGTGAGCAAGCAAGGAACCTTTTTCGTTCATTTTCTTGTTCTTATTGAACAAAGTTTGACAGTTCGAATAATCAAGTCCTTCTTTGACTAGTCTTTTTTTATAAAGGAATGAATTAACATGATAGTGGAATGACTGCGGAGTTAAAAACCGTGCTAGATTGCACTTTTTATAGATATATACAGCATGCGGATCGCTTCCAGTGTCGATTTACAATTATCCATCATTGGATGCCATTTCTGATGATGTTATTAATAAAACGGAAATGAATGCGATAAAATCTTCAGGTTGGCTCCATAATAAGCAGGGAATATGGATACGATTATCTAGCTTCGATCAAAAATATGCTTTTGTGCAGGTAGAGAACTGTTTCATCAATCGGTTTTCACTTAGCACTTTTTTTTTATTTTGAGAAATCAGTTTGCTTTTTCTTGCTCTTATTTTCTTGAGGTTATAACAGTTTAAAATCATCTCAAATAGTTTTATTTCACCGAGATTTTTTATTTACATTTTTGTTGCTTATTTACATATTTGTTTGGGCAAATTTATATATTTGTTGGTCTTTGAAATTAAATTTAAATAGTGAAAGCGGAAATTTTATGAAGTTGAAATTTTAGATTTGAATTTTTGTAGCACTAAGTCATCAGAACTTAATCTTTGATTTTTTTTTCTCTTTTTAATCTTAAGTACTGAATGAATCCACGCGGAAATTTATAGGATTTAACCGGCAATCGATATTTACAAAGAACAAATGCCATTACGCAACACTGTTCTAATGGTAATGGTGAAGGTTCACCAACGGGGCAGAAACCAGTAGCACAAATTTATCCACGATCAAGGTTGCAATTAATTAGCTATAAAATATCAAATTTCAGAAGTTTAATAGGGGAAAAGTTATTGCCAGTAATGGTTTTGTAACTTGTTTGAACTCAAAAGATGGATTCGAAGTTTAATTTTAGAAGCGAGCAACCGATGCAGGCATTGAAGCCTTCAATTGCTGACTGTTGTCGAACGGTGTTCGCTGCATTTTTGTGGCATGAACGATTGGTCAAGGATGCGATGGTGTGCAGTACCTACCTTAAATTTCATCCCGAATTACATTCCGTAAGTTTGTTTTCACGCGAAAATAGGTATTTCATTTCAAAAGTGGACAACTTTTATTATGTAGGCATATTGGCAAAATTAATGCACTTTATAGGTAAAGTTTTATAGGTAAAACTTTATGGATAAAAAGGAATACAGGAGTAGTAAAAATGAAAGTCTCAAATAAGCTTTTTGTTGTTTTCTTTAGAATTGGTTCAATTTATTAGATATTTTGCGAAAAGTGCAAAAAGTTTCGTTGTCTTACGCTTTTGTTTCCAACGCTTTTTATTTCAGATAACTTATGGTCAAAATCGAATGGAACTAATCATGGCTACACCATTGCATTCACTTTTCACTATCTGGCAAGAAATTAATGCGGCAGTGCAAACCAGTATTGAACAACGTTCAATACTTTTATGTCCAAGAACCACACGACAATTTAACGTGAAACCAATAAAACCTAGTCCTGGTACCTCTCGGCAGGTTCTTTTTTCTTCCGTTTTTTGTTGCTTCTTTCGCCAATTTTTTTTAATTTAAATTTTTATTGATTTGTTAATCGTATTCTTCACGTTGGTCATGAGAAGCACATTTGAAGATTTAAAAAAATGTCAATAATTTTATGAAGGAAAAACGAAAGGTTATTGTTAAGGGATCATCATCAGCTCAGCGGAAGGATTTATGTGAGCTTTGTGAAGAATGGCACACGACACCAGTGACCACGCACATGCGCATGGCACATCCTGGATGTGGCAAATATTCCGGTGGTCAGGGATATAACAGTTCTGGTAAATATACAAATGGTTGGTCAGGAAATTGTGGCG